GTTACCCAAAAATGCATTAGCCTATCTCTGGGGTTCTGGAGAACACCAGATGAGAAACACTGGAGCAATGTTTTTCAATCTTTTTTATCTTATGGCGTACATGAACCTATAGTTAAACTTCCACGGCACACTTAAATTATGATGACAAAAACGAGTAAATAAAAAAAAACTATGCTTTTTATGATTATTTGTCAACACAAAATAATTTATTATAGTTTGTAATAAAAAGATAATTAAAATTCTTTAAAAACTTATATTTATTTTTCTGTTTATTATAATTTAACATTTAATATTTAATGAGATATCTGAACTTGACATTTTTTAGAATATCCTCTTTGCAATGTCAAATTTTGGATAGGCATACTCTTAAATCTTCTTACAAGGATTCTAGCAGTGATCAATTTTTGAATATTGTTTATTGCAGAAAAGCTTGCATTTTATATTATTTTATATATTATGTATATGTTTCTAACAATAATATACTTGGATAATAAATTTAAAGGGATTAATTTTGATATGTGCAATTATTATGCTTTGGACTTCTTTTGAAACTAATTTAATTAATGACCCTTAAAATGACCTTTCATTGCATGCATACATTCCTCTCATGGAACACCAGTTGAGAATAACTTCTCTAGAGCAATATATGTATTGCCTCTTTTGCATATTATCTCCGTGTTTTGGGGACCACTGGCTTCATTCTCTTCTGTGACAACTCTTGGGTCATGCCTATGATATCCAGATAAATTAGAGTATGAGAAGCCATGAGAACCAGTCCAGGGGTCAAAAGGAGATAGTCCCAAAGACACAAAACCTATACATAACGCTTATAAAGGGAAATGTATATGAATGTTCCCTAGAATAATATTTGATAACCCCCCCCCCCCAATACAATAGACACTAAAGGAAAACTGGTGTGTATATGGCCCAAACATCAGCAGTAAAGTCAAGGAAATTATTTACAGTAAACTGCATAAAAGGATTGGTATTTGAACCATAGGAGAATGAATTAGCTTATGTTTGATGAGGAAGCACCAAAATCATTGGTTAAAGAAGACAGTTGTATCACGATGGATGTCTTGAGAAAAGTAATAAAATATCCTCCCTGATAACTTTGAATAAATGAACATTTGCTGCCTAAATGCACAATTTATTCAGATATAGACATGTTATTTAGGGTTAGTAGTAAAAAGGCAAACATTAAACTAATGTTTCTTTGGTACATCCATCAACATAGTTTTAATCAAAAAATGACACAAAATCTAATTAAAAAAAAAAAAATGAGAATTTCATTTCAGCTGATGCTTTTTGACCTAAATCCTTCATAAGAGAATTTATCTAGATGAATGAATACTTCAATTTTTCAAAATTAAAAAATAGTAAGTTAAAAGATGACTTCTTGTTTCATACACCTTTATATTCATAAGTATGAATTTTATATTTAAAATAAACTTGGCTGCTCAAATTTCAATTTTTGTATTTTTAAAAAATTGTTTTTTGTTGTGTTAACCGTTATTGTCTTTTATTATTAATGTACTAACATTTTGCTAATAACCGTTTGTAAAGATTTGTTATTTTAAAATATTTTTGTACTCGAAATATACTTTTAAATTAGCATTGATAATATCTTTATGATAGCAGTTTCTTTTATCAAATAATGAACCTCCAACTTTTGATTTCCATAAATGACATCAATTGTTTAACCCTTTAGCATTCAATCCACTCAAACGACCTTTGCAAATATTGGCTCTTAGTGTTCAACCTGGCAAAACCCAATCACTGTAGACTGCCATATGATGACATCATTGCAAATAATGCAAGAAGTCATGAATACAGTGAGACTTTGACCACAAACAGTAAGACTTTGAGAGCCAATATTTATAGGGTAGTTTTGAGTTGGCTGAATGCTAAAGCACTAAGTATACCTTTGACAGATATCATTTAGTTTCTCCTAGTCACTCAGTTCATTGTTTCTTTTTCTTTCTTTTTTTTTTTTTTTTTTTTTTTTTTTTTTTTGTTAGTGTTGTGATTAAGAAGTGTACATTTTTGGTGTTTACAAATTTGCCCTAATCCTGGATGCTAATCCGTTTCCACACATTAAAATATTGAGATAATTTAGAATTTTTTTTTTGCATGGATAACTAATTCTCATCTTAGAGTTGTACAAAGTTTTCTGTTAACGTAAATAATAACATTTCTAAAATCTGGAACATTTCAAAAAGAAAGATTATGCTTAATTTAGAAAATATATCAAAAAATAATAGGGGACAGAAAGAAACTCAATTACAAAAAAAAAAAACAAAGGTAATGTCACTTATCTGTTGACAATTATGGATACTTGCATGTGACTAACAAAGGTTGGGGATTAAGAGTAACATATAAAAACAGAAATAAGAATTATCTTAGATTTGTATTTTAATTAAATACAAAAAGTAATAGGAAGTAAGTAAATGAAAATTACCTAATTTTTCCCATTGTTCATTTAAATTTTAAAATTTGCATTTAATCATTTGAACAAAAATTCTAGTTGAAGTATTCAATTCTAAAAAGTATTTCACATAAGCTAAACATTCAAAAAGACTATAAAATCTTTCAGTGGCATCCTTTAAAATATTAACATTTTTCTATGCTATGAAAATTTCATGACATGAAAATACATTCTATTTACTTTGTTTTGATTATTCATTCTAATTTCTAACAGAATTAAATTTGACAATAAAAGACTAGTTCCCTCTTAATAATAGTTGCAAAAATAGTTATATAACCATTCAATTTTGTTTGGTACATTTTTTTTTTTTTTTTTTCCTAATATACAAAATTTGTTAAAATGAAAAAATATTCTTATTGAAGAATCTCAAACAGGAATTATGCAATATAACTTGTAAAGACATGTTTATTAAAGTCTATTGAAGTTCATGCTTTTCTTTTTACACCAGAGATTAACTTCAGCTTAGAAGTTTTACATATTGTTATGCGATTGAAACATTTTTATAATTAATAACTGTCATATTAGGATTCCATTAGTTATGTTACTAGTGGGGATACCCAACATTGCTCGGAAAATCTCTGAATAATAGTTTATTATTGGCAATTTATTGATATTTTTCAACCACCTTATGGGAAATAATTTTTTATTCAATCTTTAAAAAATAAACTTCATGTTTTTTGGAGGGTTGCTATAAAATAACTAAATTTAGGAAAATATCACATGACCAATACTATGCAGTGTTGGTGAGGGTTGAGCATCCCTACAGTTTTATTCAAAAAGACACTTATTTTTTTAATTAAATACTAACAGAAATACTCTGTTAATGTTGTTTTCAAACAAATCAAACTTAGATATAAGTTCATTAACCTTTTCAAATTATTAAAAAAAAGTTAATAAACTTAAATTAAGATATATTTAAACATATTTAATTTAATCATTTTTTCAAACGCAAAAACTATAATGAGCTTTTTTTTGGAGGGGAATCTAGATTTTTTTTAAGTAAAGTTTTACTTTTAAACATTAATTAACTATTTTGAAAGCGAGTAGAAGCAAGATACATTGAGAATTTAGTTTTGATAAACGATTATGTCTAAATTTCAAGTAATATTTGTATTTGAAAAGAAAAAACTTTAGTTAAATATAAACACAAGGCTAACATTACATTTTATTTCATTGAGGACTTCATCAACTATTTCATAAGCTTTCGACCATATCATGCTGAAACACTGGTCCTTGTCGGATTATCGAAGTTAAGCAGTGTCGAGCCTGGTCAGTACCTTGTTGAGTGACCACTTGGGAATATCATTGGTGTAAAAATAGATGTGACTTATGGTCAACATTAGTTGTGTTGAATATTTGTTTTACAAATTTAACTATATTTTATTTAAATTAATTTAAAAAAAATAAGGCTTTCTATAGATATTTGCTTTAATAAAACTTAATTCAAACTTATTTACTTTTTAATGTTAATTACAAACAATGAAGTTTATTTTTTGAAGATTGAATAAAAAAATTATCTATAGATGGTTGAAAAATATTAATAAGTCAATAATACACATACTTGAATACTTGAATAAATATTAAACTTTTTCTTAAATATCTGTATTTAATAGTCTTTTAAATTTGCTTTGTTGCTTAATTTGTACTGGCATAATGTAATGGAAAATTTTTTTAAAGTTACGTTTTTACTATAGATGTAAAAAATAAATTCAAGAGAATAGAAATTTTAAAAATACATACATGTATAGCATTTAACAGAATAAAAAAGTAAAAATGAATGGTAATCCTAATCTGTAATAAGAATTATATATATGTTTTTACTTTTTAATTCTGAGAATTTTGAATGCATTGTAATTCATTTTGATTTTAAAACATCTTTGTCAATACAAATCATACGATGATAATTTTTTTTACAAAAAGCTGGCTTGGATGATAATGAGTCTGCATACATATTTACTTTGTCATGGGCTATTGTAGTTTTTTAGTTTTAGCCATGCACACGTACACACACACAGACAACTGCTCTTTATGTATAGATATAAATGGAGAAGGTTGTAATAAACTGTTGTCAGCAAGTCATATATTTGTATCTGATAAATAATGTAGAGAAAAAGCTTCTGTTTATATGAACCCTAACACTTGTTTTCCATTGTGTATCACTGACAATGACTTTGACTAAACCAAATTAAGCGAAAATGACTTCACTCAACTGACAACCACAACCATTTATATACATCCTGGCTCTCAGCAAACAAAAATATTTGCAAGTGATATCATAATAGCATGGAGAATAGTTTTCATTCACCTATCAAAAACAAACACAGAAACTTTTTCCTTCCATTAGAACAGTATCACAAGTAAAGAATCATATAAAATATGAGACCCAAGAGTTATTCAAAGGTTTTCATAAGTAATATGTATAATTATCATCATTGCTATAATGATTAATGTAAACACAAGGCTAACATTACATTTTATTTCATTGAGGACTTCATCAACTATTTCATAAGCTTTCGACCATATCATGCTGAAACACTGGTCCTTGTCGGATTATCGAAGTTAAGCAGTGTCGAGCCTGGTCAGTACCTTGTTGAGTGACCACTTGGGAATATCATTGGTGTAAAAATAACAGCTCAGAATCAGTAATCGGAGAGCCAAGTTTCAATTCCAGTTGAGTTCGTTCTATTCACTTGTGCACAAGTACCCTTAAGAAAGCTATGGATCTACCTCTTCTCCCTCAGCTAAAGGTTAAATAGTACAACTTGTACCAGGAAATCATTATTATCCCCAGAAAATTCACACCATCCCAAAATATTTGTTGGCTTTGATTAACTTGCAAAAGGTTGATAAGCTGTAAAAAAAAAACCAGATCAATCAACAATTACCTCATCAACCAGTGTGTGTGTGTGTGTGTGTGTGTGTGAGGCACTGGGGCTTTCTCCAAATGAGGATTCTACATCTTGTGTTGGTGTAAGACACTCCTTCTGTCCTCTCTCTTTGGATCAGTGTTTATATGTTAACCTGTTATAACATAAGTACCTCCTCCCTGCACAAGCACACATATCAGGCAGAGCTGGGCTAATCATATACACCTGCACTCAGTGGCCAAGAGGTTATCTCTAGCTCAACCCTGGCTTCTCTTAAGCACACTGTACAAAGTCTATCTTGACATCATCTGAGATGGGCCACATACTACAAATACAATGTTGGGGTATTGTCTACTTTCATTTTTATATTGCAGAATAGATCTATAATAGCTTAATACACAATATTGACTGGGTGAAATGGCCCATTAGAAACATTATTTCTAGGCCTCTAGTACGATCATACTCACAATGTTGACTGGTAATGATAGCATATAATTATTTTTCATTTTCCATTCTATAAAACCCTTTTTCCATTACATTATGCCAGTACAAATTAAGCTATAAAAATTGGAATTTTGAAAATTAAAAATTTTATGAACATTACAAAACATACAACAAAAGTGTTCACAGTTAAATTTAAATTTCAAACTTTAAAAAATATTCATTTTCTCCCCAATAAGTTCAAACTTATAAAATATAAAAAAATCAAATGGCACTTATGCAATATGTACAGTTGTCTTCAAAATGAAATCATAAATTTCCTATTTAGATTCAATCATGATAAACATTGCAATATACTTAAAAACTTGTTCTGTATGATGGTAAAAAGAAATGACAACAAAAAAGTGTAGTATCCCAAATTAAAAAAACAAAATTCTAAATACAGATGTAAATTAAATTAGCATTATTTACTTAATAGAAGCCTGCAGAAATTACCCAGTTTGGCCCACAAGGGGTTTTCAAAATAGTCAAGAAGGTAATGAAACTTATTAATTGTAATGTAATGTTATGAACTCTGGGAAGTAGTATGCACTCAACTGCCTCATGGGTAATAGCCATAGCTATTTATAGTCTTTGTGACTTCATATGTAAATGTGTCACCTCATCTTCCTGTGCCAAAGTGGTTTTATCCCCTTATTTTCCTGGGTTCTTCTGGGAGTTTTTGTCTCCTCACTGTTTTCCTCTCCCTTCTTAAGAGATTGTCTAGATATGGGAGATTGTGATCTTTTTCTTTTTTTATAGGAGTGTTTCTCAAACAATTATTCATCTTCAGAGCCTATATTGCTCTCAGTTTCACTGTCATGTTTGTCTTGCCTTGACATGACACTTTTGCCTTCATTACTTTCAGGCTTATTGTACATTTCTTCATCACTCTCGTGTTGCAATCTAACTTGGTCTGTATGCACTAATATCCCATTTACATTTTTTTTCTATTATCATAGTGTTCTGTCCACTTATGAATTATGAATATTGCCTCTTGTAAATTAGATTCATTATTCTTTTTATACCAGTTTTTCTTTGGTGGCATAAGACATGGTCAATGGGGCTAAAATTTATCTACCCATGAGGGCAGACAGGCTTTTTGATTTTCCAGCATGTGGTATTATCCTATAGCTTAGCAACAATCTAGAAAGAAATGTTTCTATCTTTTTTTTCCATTGTACACATATTTTCAGTCTGTTTTTTATAGTTTACACCATCCTTTTTGCTAATTAGTTTGATTGTGAATGGTACAGTGGGGTTTTATATGGTTTTTCTTTTGGGATTTATACATACATTTAAAATGATTCATTTTGAAACACATTTCACATTTTTTATATGCAGAAAATTTTTGTTTTTCTCTTTTATGTCAATATCCACAAAAAGTACACATTATTCTGTCTTTTTTCTTTATAACAACATATGTGTCTATTTCCTCTACTGGATCCCTAACTTTTGTTCTCTTAAATTTTTGAATTCTTGTTGCTGAACAAATTTTACACAATGTTCTAGTGACGACTTTCCCAGTTGTAAATGCATTAGTCATTTGCTGATGCTTTTCATTTTGAAGGCTGTTTACTGATTTCATTTGGATCAAATCCTCTTTGATTGACTGGTTTTCCAATCTCACTTTCTCAAATTCACAATATTTAGCAGCTTGTTTTAAATGAAGAACATATTCAATAACTGATTCATTCAGTTCATCAGAAATACTCATGAACTTACCTCTCTCTGCATTCACTAGTTTTTTCTTGAGTGCTATTTTATTCACTGTTAGTTGACTTATATCATCAAATGTCATTTCCTCCAACTGTCTTGGATGTGCAATTGCCTCACAACCAGCAGTTGCCAAGAGAAGATCAGTTATTTGGTTTTCTCCTCTAATTTTGAATCCCTTAGTGTTTTTGTTCTAGCTTTAGCTGCTAGTATCCTAAGCTATGCTTGTGTGTACACATAATTATCCAGTGATAATTGTTCATTCAGTTCTTTAGATATTGGTGACACCATTGTAGTGTTGTGTTACTGAATCACAGGAAGTAGTATGCACTCAACTGCTTCATGAGTAAATCTGTAAGAGTTTTTTCTTTTTTATTGTTAATATTGAATGTTACTGCATTTATATCGATATATTACATGTGTAAAAAGTTCCCAGAAATCTTGTTTTTATTTTTTAAACTAGAGGTTGAATATGCAATAGAAAAAACATTGAAAACTTTTGCACGCACAAATTAATGAGGACTATCTATGATTATTTAAAATGCTTTTTCTTTTTTTTTTCATATACTAATAAGGACTAATTAGATATCTTGGTAGCAGCTTGTGGTTAAAATTTAAAATGCATCATCTTTATCATGCATATTAAGTTTTTTTGGGGGGGTGGGGAGTGCCATGAAGTTGCCAATTTTGTTCTAAACTTAATATTTTACATGTTTTTCCTAAATTATTATTTTTAAATAAATATATTTGTTGATTAAAAAAAGAATTCACTATATTCTATGAAAAAAAAATTAATAAAATTAAAAGTAAAAAATTTAATTTCATTTTATGAATATTTACATTATTTTAAATGAAGAATGAAAAGCTTTTGCTCTTAGGAGTTTAGCATTTTATAATTGTCTAAGTGCAAATTTGGCTATGGTAAAAGTAAAGCTTTGAATAAGAAATTTCAAGACACACATGTCACTCAATTTGGTGAGTAGGAAAACTTATTTTGTGGCATGATAATGCCTGCAATCCGGTAAAAATGACATCACTAAAGATGAAGATGGAGATTTATTGCAACCTCCTTTAAATTTTTCTATTGTGTGTCAGTAGCATAGCTTATTGATACGGATCATGGAGTAAGGCAAGTTAAAATTCTGGCTTAATTATTTGCATTCACCTTTGCACAAATTCTCTTGGAAAAGGCACAAATCCCTGTAGCCTTGGGTGGTAGACAATCGGTGAAAACTTGATTCAAAACAGTGGAGAAGGTGACACAAAAAGCCACTCAACTCTTTTTCAAGATGCCAAAACAATTCATAGATAATAAAGAAAAATAATCTGGAGGTCTATGATTACCTATGACTTGAAGAAACATATGCTTATAGCCACATCACATAAAAACACCAGTTCCTGTGTGATCATCAAAGTTGAGCCTGGTCAGTACCTAGATGAGTGACCACTTGGGAATACCAGGTGCGGTGAGCTTGGATGTGATGGTGGATAATGGCTCAGAATTGTTAATCAGAGAGCTGAGTTCCAATTCCAGTTGGGTTTGTTATATTACTTATGCACAAATACCCTTGGGAAAGGTATGAATCCATGTAACTGGATTAATAAGACTTGTATCACTAAATCACTATTACCTCAAAAAAAAAAAAAATTCTTACAATTTAAAATCTTTTTTTGGCTTTAAATAAGATATTTCAAGGAGATATAGAGTATATTCATTTTAAAAAGAATATTTCAACCATGTAGTGCTTTTTGTTAACAGGTCTGAAAGTCTCCAATTCATTTCAGGTTAAAGAAGCTTTCAGTAGATCTTATCAGTTTTTTGAATAAAAAATACTTTAAGAAAGGAATCGATTATTTGCTGCCAAAATAGAGCCGAGGGAGAACATTTTAATTTTAATAAGTTGGCAATTTTATGTTGAATAACCTGATAGGGGGAATCAGAAGTACAACGTACATAGAATTGTGGAAGGGTGACTCCACCAAAGCCATTTTATTGGTTCTTTTATAGGGTGAAATGTAAAGCTGAATTGTTTAAATTGAATGTGCTCTTATATATTTTATTTGCCTATTCTAGAATTCCTGCCCCCACTATGAACCTGTTTTTTGTGGTCATTTACCTCCACAGTCTCCCAGGTACGTAAAATTATCTTCAGGTCAATTCATGTGAGTGTATGTTGTGTTAAGGAGATTTCATTTTTTTTTTTTTTTTATAATTGCCCTTTGGGCCTATATGATAACTAGAAACCTTTCGATGGACATATAATAGCTGGAAGGATTTTGAGGAGCAGATATAACAACTAGAAGTATTTAGAGGTGAGCAATGGAGTCACATCACACATAGTGTAGTGGTTATCAACTTTGAAAAGTTGAATTGGTGTGTTAACCTCAAATTCCAGCAGTTTACATTGTTTTTAATTTCATGCAAATAACCTTTGAAAAGTATGAATTCATTCATCTTCCTCTAATTAAGTATTAATAGCTAGGCCAACTGAGCTCTCTAGCTTTGTTTGGTAACCAGTCTAGGAGAAAGACAACTCAATTCAAAACCAGTTAGGTGAGGGGCTAGCAATTCCCCCCTGTAAAATCATACTTTCTAGAGCTGTAAAACTTAGCGTGGTGAGGTTTGTGGCTCTATACTCCACAGTGGGGTCTACAGGTTTGGCAACAAGGTTTGAAATAGCAGTTAATGGGGCTAATACTCAAATTTAATGCATTTTCTTAATTATTATTATTCATAATATGTTTTGCATATTTATATCTGTAAAGGTTTTATAAAAGTGAACATATTTAAATATGAAGTAAATTAATTTTTCTGTAAAATCAATTTAATTGTGTATATCTGTTTAGTAAAGATAAATACACATAATATGAAAACCTTTGTAAAACTAATTGTTGAGATTAATATATTGTAGATCAGTAAATGGATAAGATGGAAACATGTTGGTAGGTGTTGGCTCTGTTGCAAAATGGCCGGGGTCATTCACAGGGCTATAAATTTAACCCTTAAATGTGACATTTGATTTAACAAGTAAATTTTGTAATTTTTTTATTAAAAATTTGTTGTAGCAAGTATTAATACACAATTTCTATGTTGTGTATCTAGAAGAAAAAGGAATTAATGTAATATTAATAGAATAAGGCTATTATATATTTCCTTTATATTTTATTAGATGAAACATTGTCAGCTAAAATTATTACTTTGATCTGTAAGAGCAGCTGGTGCATTTAACCAGGTTTCCCTGAGAGAAATGAATTTGAGTCTCACCAAGTGCTTATCTTTTATTTCTGATGCATGCTGTCTACTCAGTGCTATAGATTGATGGATGGGCAGTGCAACTAAAAAAAAATTAAGTTAATGTTAGTTAAAATTAATAACAGTTTCTTCTGTTTTACTTTTCACTTGTGGAACTCTTCTGGTTTTTTTTTTTTTAAATGCATCTTAATAGCTTTATTGCTTTACATTGTGTGAAATAATTTATATATATAAATAAATAAAAGTGGACATTGAGGTCAACACCAAAAGGCAACAATTTGTTTTATGCTTGAATGCAATCTTCAGGCCAGGTGTGTTGTACTTTGGCTCGACTATTTATATATGCTGGTCAATGATGCATTATGGGTAGCAATGTCTATCGTGTTATCCTAACGGTTATTTGGTAGATGGTAACAGTTATGTTTCAAATTCTTCTAGAGTCTATTGAGTAAGAATAATTGTCTATCAAAATGCAGTTATTTGTAGCTGTTTTATGGTGTTTAAGTTTGTTGCTCCTTATTTATTATTAATTGGTTAATTATTTGTTTTGATTATTATTATTATTATTATTATTACATTTACTTGTGGGTGTGTGTGTATATTATTCTCAGTATTCCAATACTCTCAATAACTTGTGAACCAGACTGTTTAATTTCCCAAAATATAACCTTCTGCTAATAAGTTATTATCAATTATTTTCTTTTAGATTGGAGATTACTGTTTAATAAATCATGAAAAACATTTAATAGACTAAAGTAAGTTTGAGATTTATTGCCTATTAATTTTACACCAATTTCACTTCTTCCATTATTATTTTTGCCTGTAGATATGTTGAGAATCGGAATCGTAAATATACTCAGGGTCGAGGAACTGCTGGTTTTCGCTCACCACCAAAATATGTACCTATTCCATTTACATATCCTCGAACACCCTTTCGAAGACATCCAGTTGAAGTAAGTATATAATAAATAACAAAGGAATTTTCATTTCATCACTTTTCAAAGGATTTTATCTGGTTGGAAGGAAAGTTCTTCATTTCTAAATAAATTTATTGTTCTGCAGACCACAAGAACCTTCCTTCTAAACAAATCAAGAACAATTACTATGCTGAGTTAGGCATTTAACTAATATTTAGAAGCAGATAGATGAAATTTATTTTTGTTTGGTTAACCAACATTGTTTAATCGTATAATTAGTGCATTTTTGTATAATTCACACTCCTCCCCTCTCTTTTGAACAGGAGTAGAGGTGTATCCTTTGTTCCCTGTTTATGATCGGGTTTCTGGTTTCTTCTAAAATCTTTTCATTTTCTTTCACTCCCAGCATCTTAATGGCATTGTTGCCTTGCTTGGGGTGAATTGATTAAAAAAATGTTCGAGTGAAAGAAAATTACTTATAGTTTCCTTCCAGAAAGTATTGGTTGAATCAAACTTTCCATATCAATTGACTTTTTGTCCATACCTTCTAACCGTCATTTCCAAACTAACTCAGAAAAAAATAAGAGATACAAATTGATAACTTTAATCACAGCAGATAATCTGACAATAGTTTTTCCCATATTTTTTCATTCACTACATTGAGGGAAGAAATTTATCATAATTTTTCAAGTACATTTGTTATGAATAATCAAGAGTGGTCTCCCCTTGTTTTGTTACTCTCCTCTTTGAGAGAGCCATTTCTGTTTATTGGGACTGTAAAAGGACACTACATGAACCTTGTATTCTCATTCGAATGAAACTTTCTTAAAGCCTACACCTGCATACTTTTGTCATTACAACATTATTCTTCATTAAATATTAAGACATGATCAGGCATTATGTAAATTTCTTGTTTTATTTCTTATAAACAAAAATTGACATTTTTCTCTCTATGTCACTCCATGCAATTAACAAATACAAATGAGTTACATCACTCCACACAAACCTAACCAGTATTTGTGGTTGGGGGAGCTATTTCATTTATTCATAAATAGTAGCAGTTTTTTTTCTTGTGTTATTTAACTTGATATAGTACCTAATAATAAATGCTGTTAGCAGTTTCATTATTAATGATTTTTTAGTTTAACAGTTCTCATACCAGATTTATAATACATCTGGATTGAATTTGTGAAAAATAAGTTGCTTTGTTGACAATCACATATAAGTGACATGCCATAGGCAATTAAGTAAAAAATAGTTTGGGTGTGAGTTTGAGGCCCAATATTTTCTCAAGGCACAGAGCCTCAATGAGGGGACATTTGACTGACTGTAGTTCGGCAGTAGTTCGGGGTCTGATTGGCAGTGATGGACCAGTTTAGTTTTCAATGTATTGAATGTAACCAGCCAGTTTTTTTTTTTTTTTTTGCCATTAGCAAGTTAGTGTTAGATCAAAAGAGAGGTCAGCTGCCAATCTCTGATTGTCAAGAGTTTTAGAAGGCCACTCATATATTGTCTTATCATTGGCATAGATGTTTATAAATGATCGGAGTATATTCTTAGGCAGATCATTTATAGAGATCAGAAAAGGGGTTGGTCCAAGAAGTGACTGCTGGGGGACGCCTGCATTGACCACCAGGACCAACTTCATGGATGAACCTGTTAGAAAGAATTTTATAACTGAGAAAACCCTTCCAGTGATTCCATAGCTAGGGAGCTTGTGTAGCAAACTTTTGTGCCTTGTGTTGTCGAAGGCCTTCGTGATATCTGAAGCTTTGTACAGCATTTTTTCTTCTCTGGAAATAAAAAAGCGTCAAATGATAAAAATGCATCTTATTTTCCTTCATTTTCACTTTTAATGTAAAAGCATTTAAAATTCACAATCCACACACATTTATGTTTATTGATTGATTTGTTTTTTTGTTTTTTTTTTTACAGATTATCAAATGTTTACAGGTTATTTATTTAAAGCCAGAAAATATTTTTTGATTATAAAATTTTTTCTTTTTTTGAGATAATAATGATTTAGCAACACTATACTATAGCTGGAGGAATGAAGAGGTGAATTCATATCTAATCAGAATATGATAAAGAAACAAGAAATTATAGTGTGGCTACAAAGTGGGGATCAATTCCATATTACAATCAGTATATAAAATGATCTCTGACTTTGTGGCTACTGTAGTTTCTATACATCTATATTCCAGAGAATGTAATGTATGTACAACTAACCAGTATTTCATTGATTGATTGATTTGTTTTCTACAGCTTATCAGCCTTTTGCAGGTTATTTAAAGCCAAAAAATATTTTTAGACTGTAAGAATTTTATGGGAGTAGATAATAGTTTAATGATACAAGTCTTATTAATTAACCCCTAGCTGGGGGAAGAAGAGGTGGTTTCATACCTTTCCCAAGGGTATTTGCATATGCAAGCTTACAGCACCTGGTATTTCCAAGTGGTGACCCATCTATGTACTGACCAGGCTCAATGTTGCTTAACTTTAGTGATTGTACAGGAACTGGTGTTTCAATGTGGTATGGCCATAAGCCCAAGTCATATCTTCAAAAATATATATATATACATAACATCACTTTCTTTGGATGTCCACCAGCTTTTGGCTTGATATAACTGAATAAATTTGTATTAATTTTGTGATATAGTTGATGGAAGTTTTATAATTTTTGCATTAATTTTTTAGTTTTTATGAAGTTTTGACTAAATGTTAAAAATAGCCAACAATAAATGTCACTTCATATCTTACAAATTTTTTTCTGCTTATTTTCTTATTTTTCCATCACATAATTTATTTTTTTTTTTTTCTAAAAATAAAATCCATTCTGATTTGTCATTTTATAGCAATAAGTAATTAACACAACTCATCACTTATTTCTTTTAGGTTTTGGAAGAATTATGTAGAAAAAATGGTTGGGGTTCACCTGTTTATCAGTTAATGTCTTCAGTGAGTTCTGCTGGTTTCCCACTTTTTATGTACAAGGTAATTATCTATTTTTCTTATTCTTCTTAATATGCAACAACAGAAAATATCAATTAAAAATTTACTGTGGGGTGGGGGTACTTTTGATGTTATGAAACAAGTTTTTAACTGCGTTCTTTTAAAATTCTTATTAAAATATTAATGTAATGTAAACAAAGGAAATTTAGCACTATATATTTTTAAATTTATGATATTTATTTGTTCAATCAGGTTACATTGCCACATTATTCCCATATTGGGAACTTAATGCAACCAAACAGATTGTGTCGAAACATTGATGAAGCCAAGATCTGTGCTGCTGAATTTATTCTTTGCCAACTTGGATATTTTACAACTGAGCCAGGTAAAATTGCAATGCCTATATATATTTATCAATATTAAAAATATCAATGTCTGGGATTTATCCTAAAACCTTTTTGTTAGCTAAAGCTTAATTCCATTTGCTGTTAGCTTGCTGTATTTATGAAGATATGTGTTTTGTGTAATTCAACAAAAATAAGCTGCATAAAATAAAGAACTTTTAGAAAAAAATCTTGTCAAGGTTTTCCTACTTCTGATTAAGTGAGACAAAATTTTGTTGGTAAATTTCAAAAGAATTTCTTCAGAAATGTTTGAATGCTTCTTATAATTTAAGAACCATTTGAATTGAAGTTGTTCTGTGATTGTTAATTATGCATTCAGTGATGTGTGTGTGTGTGTATATATATATATATATATATATATATATATATATATATTTTTTTTTTTTTCAGCTTTTGTTATTTGAGTTAATATAGCCTTCTAATAATCTAAGATTATATTTTCTTTTGTTCTGGTGATGTAGGTGTTATGCCTAGTATGGTAATAAAATATGCACATCCCATCTCCCTTCTTGCTTGTAACCATCCACTATAATAAAATAAATATTTTCAATGCTTAAAGCTGAATTAGTCAAATAAAGCTTCATAAGCTTCTATTACACCTACAAACCACTATGCCTAATTTTAAGTCAATGTCTTTTGGAAAGTAGCTCATTAGAAATAGAAACTTAAACAGAAATTTAAATAAATGATTAGATTGTTTGGAAAATAATGTCGCAATTTTGGAGGGGGAGATTAAAAATCATTAAAATACTGCAAAATAATTTAAAGTGCGAGCAGTGACAAAGGCCTGATTATTTTATTCTTTGTTAAAATAAACTTATTTTTAATGGAAAGAATTCTCATAGTGCTCAATTTATTTTTGTAATGAAATGGAGGTACTGATAAAATGATAACATGAGACTTGAATTGTCATTACTTAACATTTTATTGATTCATTCTAATTTTTTGTCTTGCTCTCAGCTAGTCTGATGAGAGCCTTGGTTCTGTTATGTGAACCTTACATTCTGTCTGTAATGTGTGAGAGACTGACCCCTATCATCTCTAGAGCAGTTGTTTATATATCCAACTGTCCAACATTCTCATTTTCATGTTTCTATACCAGTCAAGTGTGAGGTCACATAGTTCTGTAGTGAATGGCCTGCAGTAACCCAAGGTTGACTTCAGTACCAGTTTTTTTTTTTTTGCCTGTTAGTTGTGAAATTTGAGTGCAATGTCTATTCCAGCATAATATCACATTTCTTTTCCTTACTTTTTGTTAAGAAAATAATCCTCTGATCTGATTAATTTGAAATCTTAAGCTGCTAAACCAGCTGAATTAAGAATGGAAGTTTTTAACTAAATTGTTTTTCTCTTCATTCATTTGTGTTCTTGACAAAAAAGATCTGCAGTGAATATCTTAGCTTAGTCTAAGAGCTCATCACAGACAAAGCCTATTATTTTCCATCAACTGCTCACTAGACCTTTAGATCTTTAGTTTAAATTATGACAGATTATTTATTCACAATCCCAGATTCAAGGAATAAAATATTTTAACAATGGCCTTTTATCATTGCTAATAATGATTTTGATCTGATCAGATAAATTTAACTTTTGTTACATATGAAAAGGTTTTTATTCTTGCTTCAAAAAATGCAGCATCACTTTTTGAATAACCTTTTAAATATGTTTGCACTTATTTTGATAAATGATAGAATTTTGAAAAATCAAGTGGAATGCAGCGTTTTATATTTGTATTTTATTAATACTTAAAGTTTCTCTTTAAAATGCTGATTTTAATTATGATAGCCTTGCATATTGAAAATTGCTATGTAAAACAGTTAAAAATTTAATTCAAATAAAAAAAAAGCATGAAAATTTGCAAGTAGCTATATAATGAACAAAAGATGTACTGTTATAACAAAACCTGATGTATTTCATCAATAACAATGTAACTGTTCCTCATAGATCTATATGCATTTTATTAGATCATAACAGATCTGGAATTCTTGTATTTCCAAGATAGTGATTTGAAAATCAAAATTAAAAGATATACAGGCTTTGTACATTTCTTAGGTATTATTAAACCCTTAAATTATAAGCTCATTTGCATTTCCTTTAATGTGATAATTATGATGAAAATTGATTATTCTGCTTGATATTTTCAAGTGCTTCTCAGTTATAATAAACTTAGCTTTGTTTTTTTTTTTTTACCTTTTGTAACTGTTTATGTCTTGTGCTATTTCACTTAAGTAGTTATTTAGGATTAAGTGCATGATAAGGAATCTTACAAAAATTCCTAAAAGTCCAGGTCAAGTTATTTAGAGTTATTTATAACAATAATACTGTCATATTTGCTTACACTTACATGTAAAACTTGCTTTTTGATATCAGTTGAGCAAAGATTTAGGACTTCATTTTTTTCATACACAGAATTTAAATTAAAATTATCCTGGATATATATTCATATTTCATATTTTTTAGAAGTTAAAAATATTGGGATTTAAAAATAATTGTTCATATCAATTGCAATGATTTTCCCCCACCTTTTTAAATATTATTCTAATTTGTAGATAATGTATTTTTCTGTATAAAGTTTTTCATGACGACCTAGATTGATTAATGTGCTTACTTGATAACTCTTATTTTATGTTTTACTGGAGATTTTTGGTCATTTATAACAAGTGTAAGTATCATGACAGTGAAATATGGACTAAGTTTGAAAATAGATTAATTTATGAAACCTTCTTCATACTTGCTCTTCTATTCTCTTTGTAATGAAATTTCAAGTTGAACTTGTTTTGTTAATACATTGAATAAATATTTAATAAATTGATAATAACTTGATTGGGTGTAGTCAGGTTATATTATGTAAAGAAACTAAGTGTTCTGGGAATCAAATATTGCTGCCACATTTAGATTGGTACTTCTGTTTTATATCTAAAAAATCTTCACAAAATCCAAAGAAAAATCAAGAACGATATCAATAATGTATTTAAAGATTCTTGATAAAATCCAAAGAAGAATCTGCAATGTCATCGATCCTGACCTGGCATTTCATTTTCAGTCACTTTCCCACCACTGTAATGTAGCTTTCCTGGGCCTTTTTTTATACGTATTTTTATGGTAATTGTTCTGATGTGCTTTCCTCTTTGGTACCTCGACTTCATGAATTTAAATGCAGTACTAGATTGGCAGTTAAGTCTCATAATTTCACTGTTGAAATTGATAGTTGCAACCATAAATTCTTTGCTAACAGTTTCTTCTCTTGCATTTCTTGCTTTTGCAAATCTCTTCTGGCTTTCTGCTTTCCTGTCAACTTTGATCTTGAAAAATTAAAATGCAATGCCAATCATTATCCCTCTCCTTGAATCCTATTCTTTCATTGCATCCTCTGTTTCCTTCATTCTCAGTAAACCCTTGCATTCTAGTGGCTTTTATTACCTTACTTAGGAGGAAATAATTAAAAAAGATATAGTGTTTTTTTGTTTTTTTTTTTTTTTTAAGTAAATTCCAGAATAAAATAATCAGAGAGTCTTTTCTGCATATAATCTCAGTGCAGTCTTTTGCTTTGAGTGGATTTCATATTATCGTCATCTCTACCACCGATCTTTATTTGGTTTGCAGTATCTTTTCATATCTTTTTTTCATTACCAATCATACCTTATTTATCATTCTAAAAATAGTTTTTATTTTATTTTAAGTAACCACATCAACATAACAATTGAACAACCAAAAATGTCCTCTACTCTCAAATAATTTAACTTGGAATATTTACTTATATAATCACAAATATGAACAAAAGTTTAGTTTATTCAATAGACCTAATCAACCTATTGTTCAAACAAGAACACTTCAGAGGTGTTACAGGCAGCCAAGAAAATTATGATTTGTGTAATATTAATCCAAATAGGTTCAATTAATTCATAACTTGAACTGAAATTGTTTTAACCTAACACAATTATAGAATGAGTTCATTTTGAATAAAATAATTATACAGAGCTGATGAAAAACTGAAACTTCAGGACAAAATTCCTTACTAAATAAAGAACATGGAATGTGATTAAACAATTTACAACTCTAAGGAACATTGCTGGAAGTATCAATTGAATTTTTTTGTAGATATGGCTTGGATCTAGTCTAGTGTTGAAGTGTATGATGCATTATCAAAATTATAATGTTCCATTATCATGGCAATATAAAAGGTAATAAGCAAACATAAAAATGTTAATTATTTTTTTTATAACTAAAATGAGTCTATTTTATCAATGAGTTGAATTTAAAATGTGATATTAAATAGCAGGCCAAATTGTAGCTGCTTTATCAAATTGCATGAGTTTGTTTTAATCTAAATTGCTCCAGTAACTCAGCTTATGAGGAAAGCTGTAGGAGAATATAATAGATAAATTCAGACTAATGATGAGCAAATGAATAACAAAATGTGAAAAATCCTATGTTATGCCATTTCATCCTAGGACTCCAGACTAAATAATTTCTTTTTTTCTTTTTTATGGAATCACATCCATGTAGGGAGAGGGAATGAAATACAACAGATGTGGATTATAATTATACATCAAGAGAAATGTTGAAGATGCAATGATGTTTAAATGGCATCCAATGTGTCAAGATGCACAACTTAGCAGACCACATTCAACCTCTTACCACTTTTGTTTTAATCACTGTTTTTACATTATAATAGCAGTGGTTTTATTAAGAAAGGGTAAATGCTGTATGATCCTGGGCATAAATTTATCATGAAAGACTCAGAAATTAATGAAAGTTGTCTTAATTTTCAGCTTATTATCATAGTTTCTACAATGTGCAAGAAATATATATATGATTAAAATGAAAGATGGTCCACATGTGTTTCTTATAATATGTAGATTTAATAGCCTGTTAATGAAATTTGAGAAATAAAAAGACAGCAAAATACTAACAATATTGGCACTAAGATTGATGATATTTATTATATATTAACCTTTTGACTAAATTGAAGAGAAAGATT